CTGAACTCAAAACTAAAACGATACCTCAAATGGAAGAAATTTTCCGTGATAATTTACTATAAATTTAAAGGCTATTTTGTACTAACCTCGTATTTTTCTGGGTCCCCACATTCAAGAATTGGGAATTCTGGATACTCATACTTTTTCTTAGATTCAGCAAATATCAGCTCATTAATGATGTGGAGAATCCAATTTGAACCTTAAAGAAAAATCAAAGAATCAAAGATCATTAAGGAGTCTTGATTTATTTATTTATTTATTTATTTATTTATTTTTAAGATTTTTATTTATTTATTGAGAGAGAGGCAGTGAGAGAGAGCATGAGCTAGGAGAAGGTTAGAGGGAGAAGCAGACTCCCCGTGGAGCTGGGAGCCTGATGCGGGACTCGATCCAGGGACTCCAGGATCATGACCTGAGCCAAAGGCAGTCGTCCAGCCAACTGAGCCACTCAGGTGCCCCAGGAGTCTTGATTTAGCAAAGGCATGTTACTTTCACATATATATCATAAAAATTGGGTGGAACCTACAACCATCCTGTGGTATGAACAATCAGTTCTTCTGCATCTGAAATAAACTGGGCTGTGGGAGGAAACAGAGTTTTGCAGAAAACAGCACTTCTTGCTTACATTAGTACAAAATTTATCTTATTTTGCAGATTTTTCCTTTAACAAGTGGCAATACTGCTTGAATCCATAACATGTTCCTTACAGAACACTGTTATGTTATAGAAATGATTGCTTATTGCATATCATGTATTATTTCCTCTTACACTAATGAATATTTTATATAGGAGTACAGATATTTTTGATTTTATGAAAACCCAGCATCGATTAACAGGAAAATATCAAATGAAGATGGCTTCAATAAGCACTTAGAGATGAAATAAGTTAAAAAAATCAAAAGTGGATTGTGAGATTGTGTGAAATAGGAGAATTTAGATTCTTAATGTCTCCTCTCCCATTAGTGAATCACCATGCAAAGCTGGTTTGCGAAACTAAAGGATGGATGATGTTTGATCCTGAAAAATATTCTATTACGTGGAAATCGTCATAGGCATTATAGACATGGGTGTGCTTTTGCCTTTAGTCAAGAATCAAGATGAAAACGATTATTGCTCTCAGTGCTTGATAGCAAATGGACTTTCCTGCATTCATCTTTCTGGTAGCTAGCCCCACCATGCATACTTTCTACATCCATCATTCAGCAGACCTCCTCCCTCAGACACCAAGGTTTCTAAGTCTAGCAGTTCTCATTATTGACTCCACAAGTTATGCTCTTAACCATCTTGATCATCCTCCCCACTGCTTTCTGGCTAGCTTCATGCAGAGATGAACTGCCCTCCTCCCCAACCTTTGCCTAGGACCCTGTGCAACCTACTCACTATGAAAAAGTGCCCTGGTAGAAAATGATTTGTCATTTACCACACTTTGGATAAGATGCGAGCACTATGTCATCACTTCTGGCTTCAAAGGTGTCCAAGGCCTGGAAAGTTTCTGAGGTGCACATGGTGATTGGGTACGGAATCCCCTGATGAATGAAAAACAAGTGAGAAAGTGCAGTTTCTTTTGATTTTTCCAAAGCTTCGTCAATATAGTCAATAAATTTGGACTTACTGGCCATGCTGGCTCCCTGCTGATGAACCTGTTCTGTAGCTGTCCAGGGGCAGCAATAGCTTTTAATGGAGTTTTTCAGGAGGTGGAGTAAAGGTCTCCTCCCATTCACATGAGAAATAAATTCTTTAATTCTCACCCCCCTTCTCCCCACCTGCCTTTCCGCACGCCCACCTCTGACAAAAGGCAAACCGCAGGTGCAAAGCAACCTGAGGATCAGGGAATATTACCCCAGGGGCTGATCATATCACCGTTACAGACAATCCCTTGAAGGAAAGTAAGAATAGAATCTCTAACCAGATGACAATAGATATTAACTATCTAACAAATAGTTATTTAACTGAATCAGACATGCAATTTTTCCATCACAGGAAAACTGAGGAAATTTTGTATGTCAACAGAACATATCTTACTAAGGCAGGTAGTAGATGTAAGAGAGCAACTTTAATTTTTTTACTTTTTTTTAAAGACTTTATTTATTTGAGAGAGAGAGAGAGAGAGAGCTTGAGCAGGACGGAGAGGGAGAAGCAGGCTCTCCCCTGAGTAGGGAGCCCAACAGGAGGCTCGATCCCAAGACCGTGGGATCATGACCTGAGCTGAAGGCAGACACCTAACTGACTAAGCCACCCAGGCACCTTGGAGAGCAACTTTTAATCTCCATTTTACAGAGGGGAAAGAACTGACCAGAGACAGTTCCTAGATAGATATGTTTCTGGTTTCATTATATTTGTAATAATATATTTTTAAAATGTTTATAAAAAGGTAAAATTGGAATATCTGACTGTCTTACTATTTTTGTATTTCCATACAGTACTTCCCTTGAAGGTGTTATTACTTACATAACAATGGGGTGCTATTCACTGTAGGTGGGAAGCTGGTGTGTTTCAGACTCTCCCTCCCAAAAAAAGAAAATGAATAAGACTGGACTCCCTGCCAAGCTGCTTAGTGGGATTGTCCCTTACATTATAGTCTTTGTTTTCCTGGGGAGGGTGGAATTTAAGGCATTAATTCAAAGGCAGCTGTTGTCCTTTGCTTGCTTCTTAGTGAGTAAAATGATAAAAAAGACAATATACCTGGATCCTGTTTTGACACTAATGCCTATAATTATAGGAGGTTTTGGGAGGCTGTTTGGAATTGGTAATGTGAGCTTTGATTCTTCTTAGTCTCCCTGGGCTCAGGGCAAGCTGTCAGTCTTTCAGTTCTACCTACTTATTTTTTTCTTAAGATTTTATTTTTTAAAGTATTTTCTATATCCAATGTGGGGTTCCAACTCACAACTTTGAGATCGAGAGTTGAGTACTCCACCAACTGAGCCAGTCAGGTGCCCCCTCCTTGACTCTTAATTGTCTATATGCGTGGTGGAGGGAAACAGCACGAATGATTGCATAATAACCTAGATTTATGATTATTTGTACTGCTGTGCTTTTGAGTGCAAGTGGGCCTCCAATTCTGTGCAATCCCAGCTTCTGTTCAGTTCCTGGATCCACCCAAGCCCGAGATAAGTGGTGGGGGACCGTTAGAGTGCACCTGGCTTAGCTCATGCTCCTGGTGGCATCAACAAAGGAGGTTTCTTTAAAGCTCCTTTCCTTGAAATTAAAGACATTGTTCCCTCTTAATTTTTTCTTTCTTTTCACTTTTTTTTCCTAGGCTATGGACTTATATCAGAGAGAGAGAGCGAGAGAGGAGAATTCTGGAGAGAAAGACAGAGAGGGAGAGAGAAGTTGAGAGGATGAGAGAGAGAGGGGGGGAGAGTGAGAAAAAGGAAAACCAAAACAAAACTGGTGACCAAAAATGTCTAGGTTGATTGAACTATATAGTCTGATTAGTAAAGCAGGAAAGCAAGGATCAAGAAGCATAAGGCTCTTGGAAAGAAACTGAGGATTCTTGGAGGGGAGATAGGTGAGAAGATGGGATAACTGGGTGATTTGCATTAAGGAGGGCACTTGATGGAATGAACTGGGTGTGATATGTAACCGATAATCACTGAAAATAAAAAAGAAGCATATGGCTCTTGTGTGCCAGTTGGCCCAAGGCTGATTTTTAGGGGAAGGTAAATTGGCTGCTCCCATGCCATCCCCCTCTTTATGTAGTACAGTGCCTCTTCAGGATTAAATTGTGCTTTCCCCCTCTTCTTTAGCAAGAGAAGTGCTACTTCCTAGTGTAGTACAGGATTGAAATTTACTTTGGAATCCCACATATAGGGGGAGGGTGTAACCTCTTGGTATTTTGGGAGTTTTTAAAAACTGGCTTCCCTCTTCAGAATTTGAACACCAGCAAGATAGAGGTGGATGCTGGAAACTTTCAGGGTCCAGGGCAGTTTATCTGGTGACACTTTGTCATCCTAGACTGGGGGTGATGGAGAAGCACTCCACTCCAGCACTGGGCAGCTGGCAAGCAGGAATCTTGCCCCCACTTCCCCAGCCTCAGGGACAGTGCTGCTAGAGGCTGTAGGTCCCCACTGCTCTGTGTCCTCCGGCCATCTGAAGGGATGGCTGGGTCATCACCAACATCCTGGGCTTCTCTTCTGCAGTAGGTGTCTTCTGGCACTAGTAGAAATGGGTCATCCAATCTCTGCAACCTTTTGTCAGGTGATTAAAAGAGCTTCATTCTGAGGATCCCAGACAGGTCACTCTTTCTCTTTCCGTGGGAGAATGGACAGCAAACTTCCTAGGTACTTGTTAATGATGAGATCCCTGCTGCCCCTGCTCTTACGATCACAACAGAGGACTGGAACTTTGGCTAACTTCTGTACCTTGGACATGATGAAGCAAGGGAACTTCTTTCAGGTCACTTGCGTCCTTCTGCTAGAGTTAACAAATCAGGGTCACACTGGGAATGTACAGTCTCCCAAAGGAGACTTTGGGAGGGGTGGGTGCTGGAGACTTAGAGGAGGATGAACAGGACTTATGAACTGCAGAATTTGAGCATTTGCATTCCAGGGGTAGGGCTGCGGCAGGCTAGTTACGTCTGCCTACTGAAGTAGGTCTGCATTTCTAACAAGCTCCCAGGTGATGGCCATATTGCTGACTCTTGGAGACTATCACACTTTGGGTTGCAGAGTGTAGAAAAATAATTGAACACAAGTTTTTTGAGTCAATGTCTTAAGTTCAAATCCAGTTTTGTCTCTTGTTAGCTCTGTGATTGTAGGCAGGGTAAAATTCTCTCTTTCTTTGTAAAATTAGACACTCATAGCACGTATTATGACATAGGGTTTTTGTGGGGATTAAATAAATTAACAGACAGCCCGCAGTCAGGATCTGCTCTCAGTAGGAAGAGCGCGATAAAAGGTAATTACGGTATGGGGCGGGACCAACGCCGGGAGGGGCGGGGCTTTGCCAAACCTTGCGCACGCGCGGTCCTGTGTGTCAGCACCTCAGGTAAGAGTGGGATGACGGCTCGAGTTAGGCGTCCTCACTGGGGCTCGACAGAGCACGAAGTGGGCAGGAGTTTGGGGGGCCTCGCCAAAGTTCTGGGGTCATACGGAAGAAGGTTGGGTGTCACTATATCGATTCAGCGGGAAGGCGTGGGACAGGCCCGAGTGTTTCCGGGTCGCAAGGCGGGCGACCTTGTCGCCGCTGTCGGGCGGTGCGGCCTGCGCTGCACACTCGAGTGGGCTGCGGGCCGCGCGGGAGCGTCCGGGCAGGCGGGAGAAAGCTGGGGGCCGCCGGGGGCCGCCGGAGTGTGCACCGAAGACCCGGGGGACGGGGAGCCGCTAGGGCCTGAGGATCGCGGGTAGCCAGCCTGACGCGCTCTCGGAAGCCTCGCTGGTGCCTTGGTTCTGGACCGTGGGAACCTGGAAAAAGCGCTTTAGCTGATAAAACCCAGGGATGCTGAGAGACCTTGCTCTCCAACATGTAGAGTGCGAGAGACCTTGCCGTGTGATAAATCATTTTGCCTGAGAGGCTGAGGCGCGTCGTTTTCCAGCTGTAGCGCACAGACGAGGCGTTTTCCGACGCAGCATTGCACGTTTAAGCTTGTGCACCCTGAGTCCGCTTCTCAGCCAGTGTCATGCAAACCCCGTGACACACAGCGCTGCTTTTCTTCGAGCCCATTGGAAGACTGCTTTGTTTCGTTTATGTATCTACGTGTGTATGTAAAGTAGGCTCCACGCCCGACGCGGGGCTTGATCTTCGCACCCTGAGATGAAATCCGTGGTTCCCCTGACTGGGCCACCCAGGTGCCTCGAGCACTGCCTTGTTTTAAATTTCACCTAAGTTCTATCCTTCTCCAAAATCCCGTCTAATCTTACTCTTTCTCTGCCAGCTAGTAACCCAACTTTGTCGTGGACAGGTATGCCTTTGGTGGTCTTTATCAACCAGGCTTTATCAATCGTTAAAAACACCTTTCTTGAAGCTGAGGGACTTGTAATGTAAAATGTGTATATATGTATTTTTAAAAGGTAAATGCTGTAACAGTGTTACTTGTACTTTATTTTTTGAACCCTTAATCTCACCTCCCAACAAAACAAAACCACATTTTACTAGGATTCCTTATATTGAGGACATTGCTGCAGGCACGCTTTATTTATTTATTTATTTATTTACTACTGTCAATTTTTTTTTTTTTATAAACATATATTTTTATCCCCAGGTACAGGTCTGTGAATCGCCCGGTTTACACACTTCACAGCACTCACCATAGCACATACCCTCCCCAATGTCCATAACCCCACCCCCATCTCCCAACCCCCCTCCCCACATCAACCCTCAGTTTGTTTTGTGAGATTAAGAGTCGCTTATGGTTTGTCTCCCTCCCAATCCCATCTTGTTTCATTTACTCTTCTCCTACCCCCTTAGCCCCCCTTGTTGCATCTCCTCTCCCTCATATCAGGGAGATCATATGATAGTTGTCTTTCTCCGATTGACTTATTTCGCTAAGCATGATACCCTCTAGTTCCACCCACGTCGTCGCAAATGGCAAGATTTCATTTCTTTTGATGGCTGCATAGTATTCCATTGTGTATATATACCACATCTTCTTTATCCATTTGTCTGTTGATGAACATCTAGGTTCTTTGCATAGTTTGGCTATTGTAGACATTGCTGCTATACACATTCGGGTGCACGAGGCACGCTTTATTTTTAACTTAAATTTTTTTTTTCACCTATTGCACATTAAAAATTACCCCAAGAGAGATCCTTGTACTGATCATAACTTACTCCCTGTCAGGTACAGCATCGTAAACAGCAAAACAGTTCTCCCCACCCACTCACCTGCCTGTTGATTAGATGTAAGTTCTTTTTTAACTTCCTTGGCTTCATTTTTTTTTTTTTTTTACGATAAAAATAGTAAAGTTTTAATCTTTTAGTCCCCAGGGTGATCACATTATCAAAATGAAGGAAGGGACACCTGATAAAGCAATTAATAGGATAATCCTACAAAAGTAGGGTATTTAATTACCCCACTCTCAGGCATTGTGAAAAGGAGTCAAGAGGAAATGGTGTAAATGCATGGTGGTGAGCAGACAGCTGGGACTGTAGAGTATTAGAGATCTTACTGTCTCCGCACAGAGGGCAGAGAACAGTACGACAAAGAGCGTACATTGGACAGTATCAAAATCCTGAGATTAGAAATGACTGAGTTGTCCTGTTGTTGGATTATAGGGAGGCAGAGTAAGAATTTGCATTTACATTTCATAGATTCAGTAAGAGTCATATGTTACTTTTTTTAAGCTTACTATATAGCCCTTTCCCTTGTTCAGCTTTTACGTTGGGAGGAGAATGAAGACTCAAACCCTTTTTTGGATTAGCTTTTATTTTAGTGAAAGGAAGAGTGTCAAGATCTAAAGTCTAGTTTGCCACTTACTGGGTGATGGTGGCTAGTTTTCCTCCTGGTCTAAGGGCATCTTGTACAGAAGTCATTTGGAGTTGCTTGCAAATGCACACCTTACTGGGATGCTAACCCTAGACTTGCTGAATCACAGTCGAGGGACTGGGGAACTGCAGGTTTAGGCTCAGAAATGTACATTTTTAACAAGTCTTTTGGGTGATGTAATTGGTTTGAAAATACTGTTAGAATAGCAGCTCCCCAGAACAAGTTGGTTTCTTTAACTTTATATGAAATGCTTCGGCTGTGGCACATAGTTCAAAATGTGTTGTATAAATAAAACCTCCAGCTACGAAACATAAACAATCACTTATAGAATAACCTTACTTTTGTAGGGTACTTTCAAAGAGTTTTCACATATGGCGCCTATTAGATCATATCTTACTTCCTAGCTTGGCTAAAAATAATGATTTACCTTATCAATATTCTATTCTTAGGCAATTAAAAATCTTAATTCCATCAATTGTTAGTTCTTTTTACAGTGCTTTTATCAGTTTCATCTCCTTTTTGTGCTTTTTCCAGTGGTGTCTTTGGTTCATTGTGTCGGGTAGAGAATGAAAACTAGGACTGTGGGACATATCAAATACAAATAAGCATACAGTAACTTTAGGGTTTTAATCCCTAAATTATTCAGACTGTAGGAATGAATTGGAGTTGCTTTTGTGGAAAAGGTATTCACTTTGTGTATGCTCATTCAGGTCTATATGTATTTGTTATTGTTGAACTTAGGATGGCCCGCACTATGGAACCAGTGGCAAAGAAGATCTTTAAAGGAGTTTTAGTAGCTGAACTCTTGGGCGTTTTTGGAGCATATTTTTTATTTAATAAGATGAACACAAGCCAAGGTAATTCTAGTTCAGTAGTTAATGTTTTCTAGGGGGGGTGTGCAGTTTGCTAATACATTGAGGTACTAAACAGCATTTTTAGAGAAATTGCTTCTTCAGTATATTAGGCATTTTGGGTTGCTGGAGGAGAGGGGTAGGGAATGGGGGGGCTAAAATGATGGGCATTGGGGAGGGTATGTGTTGTGGTGAGCGCTGGGTGTTGTGTAAGATTGATGAATCACAGACCTGTACCTCTGAAAGAAGTAATACATTATATTAACACTAAATGTTAACCTTTTTATGGACGTAAGAAACTTGGTGTTAATTATTGTGGACTTAATGACTCTTCTCCCTAAGTAATGTTACTTGTAGACTAGGGAAAATGTTTCATACTTGGATTTTACTTGTCTGGGGCACAGAGCAAGTGTCTGGTCTGGCTTAGTTTGGGAACACAGGTGGAAGAAATTCAGCCCGCTGCTTATACCTCATTGTTTCATAGACTGAGTAGTGGTGGAGCTGAGTTGTCAAGTAACCAGTTTCAAAAGCGATCAGAGTTCCTCCTCTGCTATCAGTAACTGGGTACTTAAAACCTTTCCCATGCCACCAGCTGCCACTGAAAGTGCTGTAACACATTCTGGAGGGAAATTTTCTATTAGAGCCCTCAACTTTTAAAATGAGGAAATGCTGCTTCTCTTTCCCTAGAGCAGGTAATAGTAGTCCTGGGGGTGGTGGCCATCTTTGAAACTTGTCATTTGTCCTCTTAAGGTACTTCACTGAACACTGTGTTCTAGGATGCTCAGTCACTTGTGAAGTATAAGTGTATAAAAGAAAACATCCAAACAGTATATAAAAACAAATTCAAGTTTCTAATTCCACAGCAAGGTAAAATGGAATCCAGTATGTATTCCAGTATTCCATTTTACCTTGCTATGGAATTAGGAACTAGACTCTATCCGGTTTTTGAAGTTGATCTCAAACTTCATAGTTACATAAGAGAGTTACACAGTAACACGGAAAACTTACTTTTCTAAATAAATATTTCTAAATAAATTACATCATATATATAGGCCAAATTTGAAAAAGTCCAAAGTAACTATGGGGGGGCAACATGCAAGGCAAGTGCAAATTATACCCAGTGCAGCAGAAAGTTCCTGATTACCAGGACCTTAACACACATTTCTTATCTATACGATTCCTGTCTCATAGACCCTAAAGCTAATGCTAAATTATGTGGCTCCATGTTTTAGTTGATGAATTTCTAGTCATGTCTAATTTTAAGACCTTTCTTTCATCAGATTTCAGGCAAATGATGAGCAAGAAATTTCCCTTCATCTTGGAAGGTAGGTTTTTCCTTAAGAGTATAAAACAACTTTTTCAGGCACCCTTTAAATTAAGGAATTTCTTTATGACCAATTAAGGGTTAAAATGCTTTTTTTTTGGGGGGGGTGATGTCAGTTTCCAAGAAAAATTACTGTTTATCCCTATTTTAGCTCTTTCTGAGAACACATGGTGGCGGAAATTCTCTTTTGGAGATGAGTAGTTACCAGTGGTTGAAAACTTTGGAATGAAACACGTTTGAGGTGATGGTGACAAACCACAGCTTAAAACTTCAGTGTGACCTCTGATTTGCTAATTTCTTAGAGCAGTTTCTTTGTCCAGCTGTGGTAATTGTCCACCTTATGAATAGTTGTAAGGGTTAAACAAGATGACATTATGTAATCACTTAGCACAATAATCTGGTGTAAAGTAATGCTTAATAGTGCTCATTACCATACTTAGTACAGATGTTGGAGGGCTTTCCATGAAATATGTATCCTATTATCTTTTTCATTTTACCATGTAGAAATAAGGAAAAGTGGTTTGATTTCTCTCAATATAGTTTAATTTTAACACCTTTACATGATTTTATAAATGACAGCTGTATTTATTTATAGTTTATTACAAATCCATTGAACAGTCTGGAATGTACGGAGTCAGAGAGCAAGATCAAGAAAAATGGTTGAATAGCAAAAATTAGGAGTAAGTACAATTTAATTTATAATTAGAAAACTCATTTTCTTTGCTTTTTAATTTTTTGAGTGGTTTTCGGCCTCTTCTTTTTGAAATTTTTCTTTTTCTTGATGATACTTTTCACATCTCTGTTGTGTAGCCAGTCATCGCGTTCAGCCTCCCATCTAAGCTGTTTGTGACCTTTGTGGGGGAAAAGAAAGATGAGCACACCACATTGTGGACTCCTGGCCCCACAGAAGAAAACAGAAACTTCTGGTCTGCCATGGCTCACAGTCATTCCCATCTATTATGCAAATCCCTGCTTTTGTTTGTTGCTTTCCTTTGGCATTTATTGTTAAAGATTACTGTTTAACAAATAAAAGACTAGGAGAAGAAAGGAACAAAATGCTCTAAAGATTTTATTTCCCCTGAACACTTTCTTTGGCAAAAGAACAGAAGCCAGTAACTTATCAATATCAGAATAAAAATGTCTATAAAGTACTTACAAAGTTACTTAGCAAATTCCTATTATATAAAAACAACCTGCCTAGATAAAAAAAACTAAAGTAACTGTTTAAAGTAATTACAGTCTTTATTGCTGTAGTCTAAATGCTTTTTAATCCTATATGCTCCCCAGACAAATGAAAAAGCCATTCCTTCCAGGTCATAAGGAACCATTTTATTCATCCTTCCTAAAACGATCCTCCAAAAAATACATCTTCAGAAGTTCTGAGTTAAGTCCATTTAAAAACCTCCATAAAAAAACTCAAGTTACTTGGGGCACCTGGGTGGCTCAGGCGGTTAAGTGTCTGACTCGATTTCAGCTCAGATCCTGACCTCAAGGTTGTGGGATGGAGGCCTGCACCTGGCTCTGGGCTCAGCCGGGAGTCTGTTGGAGATTCTCTCTCCCTCTGTGCAGCTACCCCCCCATCAATCAATCAATTATTCTAGTTACTTACTTGCATTATCTTTGTTGGCCATGGCATTCATGCCAATGTTATCAAACTTGGATCCCATATTTTCATCCAGTAGGTGGCCAAACTTAAATAGAGATACATTTATTAGAAAACTCAAAACAATATGGAATAGCTAACTTCTTAAAGCAGTATATTAGTCTTACCTCCTCAGCAGATACAAATAGGTTGGGGTCATTGAAATTTCCTTTCTTTTTTTTTCTTGGTCCTAAAAAAAAAGTGTAAGCCTAGATTATTGGACTGTAAATCCAATGATTTTGAAAAATACACATTTAAAAAAAAATCGAAATATAGTTGACACACAGTGTTACATTAGTTTCAGGTGTACAACAGTGATTCAACAATCTTTTAACATGGTTCTGTTATAAAAAGGTTGCCTTTGGGTTAAAATACAGAATTACAGGGGCGCCTGGGTGGCTCAGTGGGTTAGAGCCTCTGCCTTGGGCTCGGGTCATGATCCCAGGGTCCTGGGATTGAGCCCCACATCGGGCTCTCTGCTCAGCAGGGAGCCTGTTTCCTCCTCTCTCTGCTTGCTTCTCTGCCTACTTGTGATCTCTGTCAAATAAATAAATAAAATCTTTTAAAAAAAAGTACAGAATTACAGTGATCTTCTAGCACCATTAAGTAGCTGGTATTTAAAGACAAATATAATGTATTTAAGAGTTAGTATCCTAATAAAATGGTTGAGATGACAATAGTGTCTTCCTGCCTGCCTTTCAGATTTGGAAACACTGCTCCAGGTTTACCCTTTTTCACAGTATCAGCCAAGACTAATTACAAAGTTGATCATGGTTGAATTTTGGAATACTTAAGGCAAACTGTAAGATCTAATTAAGTCAGAGGTTTTATTCTTTGGTCTAACTGTGAAGAAACTGATGGAGGGTATGTTTTTTATGTTATAAATGAAATTTTGTCTACACTTCTCAAAGTGGTTCTACGAAAGGAAAAACCACTTAACCTGTAATTCTGAACGTATAAACTTTCAAAATAAACTAAAACACCTATTTTTAATATTTATTAAATTTTAATTGACACATTTAAAAATCACATTATCTAAAAATACATTTACTAAGAATACTGCTTTTATCCATTTTCACTTTTCTTGAAATAATATTATTCAAATTTTTTGCATCTACTAGGGCCATTTTTTAAAAACAACTTTAGTAGGGAGTAAAATTCATCATAAAACTCAGCTGTTTTCACATGTGTAATTCAGTATGTTTTAGTAAACTTATAGTTGTTCAACTATCATCACATTGCAATTTTACAACATTTCCATCAACTCCAAAAGATCCGTTGTGCCCATCTGCAGTCACACGCCCTCTCCCCAAGAAGGCTTTGTCTTTTGTATCTGGCTTCTTTCACTTAGCGTAACATTTCTGAAGCTCATCCATACTACAGTCAGTACCTCATTCCATTTTTTTGCTGAATGATATTCCATTATCTATTCATCAGTGAATAGACACTGGGATTGTTCCCACTTTTTGGCTATTAATAGTGCTGCTACAAACATTCATGTAAAGTCTTTGCATGGGTATCAAGCCACTTTTGATAAACAGTTTCTAGAGCCTTTCATTTAAATTTCTGTGTATATTATATTATTAAGGAACTGCATATGATGCTATTATGGAATATTTTCTCTTGAGTTAAAACTCCCATTTTTATAGCACCCAGAAAGGTTTTTTGTTTGTTTTCATTCATCATACAGGCATATAACTGTTAATATCAACTAGTAAGCACAGTTACTGCCTTCTTAAAGTTGCCTTAAGGTTTGTTTATTCATAATGATATCCAACATTTGCAAATGTAGGGTGAACACTCTTACCGCCCCCAATTTATCAGTATTTGAAATTCCGTGGCCTCCTTTTGTTTTAACCAATTCTGTCAGGTATCCTTTAATCTGCATCTGAAACTACTGTCAGCTGAGATCTGACATCTTTTAGGCTATTGTCTTCTGAAATAGTGCTTTTTTAGTCAAATCAAGTCACTGAAACAGCATCTTTTAATATGACAGGCTCAGGAGGACTTAAGAATAAGGCAACATTTCTCTCTGGAGATGATTTTAGGGAAAACTTGGTCTTATACTTAAGCATATGCTACGATTAAAGTGTCACCGTACATTACTCAGTGGAAGACAAAATCTGAAAGATAATGTTATAATTTATATATCAGGTAAATCATCTAATTAAGAGGATTACCACTGTTAGTATTTCAAAGGGCTGATAAGTTTTTCAAGTTCAAGTGTCTGACGTTCAAAGCATGAAGAAAAAGCAAGTCTGAATTTATCACAGATTTCAGGAATGAAATACAACGCTTTCTACATTTTTATCAAAAAGCTAAAACTGTCACCTGACATAGCACCTTTTTCCTTTATTAGCATCTTACAAGTGTTAACATTAAAAGGCATAATCTGTTATGATACTTTAAAGATGATCTAGAGATATTTAAATGAGAGCAAGGAAGTTATGAGGAAAAAATATGAAGGTATCATGTGTGAAACAACTTTCACATATTAAAAACAGAGGAAACTGATGTTACCCATCATAAAAGCAAAAACAAAATCATACTAACCAATTTAGAAAATTTCCCAAAATGATAATGAGTAGTAACTTTCTCAGAGGCACTACTTAGGTTTAAAAGAGACGTTTTCTTACCTTGAAATGATCCAGCAAAGTCAAAATCATTTGCCCCTTTTCTCTTGCCTCTCTTTGTCCTGGTTTTAGAGCTGACTTCATCATCAAGTTCTATTGCGCCCCCAAACAAAAACAAAACAAAAATAAAAACACTATTAAGCAATTTAAAAACAAAAGAACTGCTATAAGGCAAAGATAAATGATGAATATTGTGATTAACTTTGAGAAATAACTACTTTCTAACATTAAAAAAAGGGTAACTTAACAGCTCAACAGGTATTGTGCGGAAAGCCTATTAATTAAAATAAAAGCTCAAAACTCAACCTCTATTCAATTCCAAATAAGAGGGGGAAAAGATCCTATTTAAATTTCTAGCCAACCTGATTATTAATTTGAATATAAAGTAATGTTTAAAAAAATGCTTCAACAGAAAAACTAGCTTATACTTAGGAAAAAAGGAAAATATACTTTTTTGCTTTGTATTTTAAAAATGTTTACTTGGGGAAAAAAAATGCTTACTTGGAATGCCCTCACTTTCATCATCCAACACATCCATGAATGTTCCTCCATCTTCATCAATTTCAGTGAATTCTTCATTCATACTTCCTAAAGAAACTTCATCATCATCCAAGTTGTCAAGCTCATCATCACTGCCTTCTGAATCTTCATCTTCTGGGTCTTCCTTAGCACCTTTTCTTTTCTTTTTCATGTTGCTGAAGAAAAACAACATGTAGCAGAGAACATTGTTTTCTAATGTGTTTTTGGTGATTAGCAGGGTACTAGGCTATTAAAGTTATACAGCCTAGAACCTCTATGCATTATTAAAGTCTACAATGAAAATACTACCTCCATTTCCCAAGCTTATTTCAATAAATTTCTCCTACAGATCACAGAGTCCTGTATTCTACTGTCCTGAGGAAAACAATTTAGGAAAAGCTAAGAAAATAGTTTTTTAAAAAATAAGACTTAAGAAAAATATTTTACCCGGCAAAATCAAGGTCATCCTTTCCGGAGGTGAAACAATTATCATCTTCAAACGTGTCTGTCAGAGAACAATATATAAACTGTCAGGTAACAGCAAGGAATAACAAAGTTGACAAGTCTTCTATATGAACCAATTAACACAGTCATTCTGCTATTTATGATGCGTAAACACCAAAATGATGTTTTATAAACCTGCTACTGCTTGTGTGTTTTATTAATCTACATAAGCCTGTGAATATACTGACCTTAATTATTATTATTATTTTTTACGGACTTCAATTAAATTCCCAGACCAAAATGGATTCCAGTTAATTTTGGCTTCTTTCTACAACTCTTTTAAGGAAAGAGGGTAAATATCAAAATGATATTTAGCAGCTGCAATTCTTTTAAGTGCTTATTTTTAGTAGATACAATGTGCAAAAAAACTCAATGTAAGTTT